CCCGACCTCGGATAAGCGGATGAAGATGGATGGATGGATGGATGGAATCCCAAAAGGGCAATTTGTTCACAGCTTACAAACACTACCTACTCACATGGTCAAACTCATGCAACCTATACTCTTTAAAGACCCAACACAAGCACTGTTACATTCAAAGCAGATATCACATAACAGACAATGAGGTCCAGGAAAAAAATTAATTAATACAAATAATAAAAACAAATAAGTAGAATACAAGGTCATATGTATGTGTTTGGCTCCTCTTCCTTTAAGCCAACTTTCTTCTGATTGGCTACCTCTCATAAACTGACAGTTTGAACAGTAGGTGGCATGTTTGTGCTCACAGCCAGAGCTGTACAGAGCCAACAGTAGAAAAAGTCATAAACTGAGCATTAAGAGCAGTCTGGAGGCTGAATTGACAGGCTTGCATTTTCAGCAAGCACGGGCAATAATTGTATCATTTTTCAAAAATTACTTTACTTTAAGTTTTGTTTTTGGTCTAATTTTTGTCATGAGAAGCTTGTCTTGGTCTTTGAGAAATATTCAAATGTCGGGTATGTACTGCTGTGCAGGCTGTCTATTCAAAAAACAACCTTCACTGTTAAGAAGCTGAACATAACATTAAGCTTACTGCCACAATCTGACGCTACAAACTGTGGAGTTAGAGGTGTGGATCCAAAAGCAGAAGCATGGAACAAAACTCGATTTAAACAGAAAGCGAGCTGTTTAATAAGGCTGGTGAAACAGTTCAAAACAAAAGGCGAGAGCAAACCAAGGTGAAACTAAACAATAACCTAAACTGGGTAAACAAAAACTAGGCATGAAAACCTGGACTAGAGCCACGAATACCTGGAACATGATATGTGGTTAACAGACCACCCAACAAAAAATGAAAGAAAACTCACACACTAAATGCACACAGCGGTGGTGAGGGCAGTGGACACACATGGGAACACAGCTGGGACAGACATATTGACACAGAGGGAAGCAAAACTGAACACACTGAGCACGTCGCAAGACGCATGGCTGAGAGGGAGGAATGCACAAGAGTACAGGATTGACTGGAGACACAAAGGAAGGCGACACAAAGAGGGAAAACGGAAATAGTCAAGGGAGAAAGAAAGAGCGCGAGTGAGGGACAGGGAAGAACAGGGAGAACATAAATGAATACAAATGAACACAAAGAGGGGAGACAAGGAGTGACACACAAGGAGGGAATATGTAAGCCAAGGGGAGACAAAATGCAAAGGCATGACTGAGACCCAGGAAATGAGGAGGCGAGCGACATGGAAGGAGACAGAGTTGAACACAGATGACACAACAGACACATACTGGCAACACAGAGGAGAGACAAGAGGAACCTAACAGACAAGAAACTAGACAGAAAATACAGAAACTCAAAACAGAATAAACTCACAGCTAACTAAAGAACCTTAAACCATAAACATGATACATAATAATTACTAAACCTCAAGAAATTCAAAATGCTGAGTCAAATAATCCAGAAACATGATACTTACCGAAGATAAACCAGGCAAAACAGAAGATGAGGAACAGACAGTTGCAGAAAATACTGCACCTGCTCTTGCAATGGCTCAGTCCCCAGAAGACAGGTATGAATCCACAAATAACCATAAAGACAGGAATGGAGGGCGCCCTTGGACAGTCATAAATGTACACGCATCCTACAAAGCACAAGTATGTAAATGAAGATGACTGTTGTTGCATAGTTCTTGTTATTTGATTTTTCAAATTTAATTTCCAACACACAAACTGAATCTAAATGAATTCAGTCTGAATATTGAGCCACTCACACTTACCAACTATCGCCTGAACAATAAACATGATGAAGAAAATGACAGAGACACACCCTGAAGGAAGACACGATATAGTTTCAGTTACAAATGACATCATGCAGCAGCTGCAGATGTGTGCAAAACTGTTCAAAATCACTTTCTTACTTATGATTCGAGGTATGCAAGTGTGTTGAGATCTATCGCTCTCTGGCATCATGACTAGAGACAAAGAAAGCTGTGAGACAAGCTCAAGATGTCTTTAACTGTCTGAATAAGAGAAATGATACATGCCCACACAGCAAGGTAAAAATCTAATGTGGAAAAAGAAAGATCTAAACTTTTTGTGTGTTTCATGTTGTTAACAAATAATAAAACAGATGTATTATATGACAGCAATAAAAAGTGTGTTAGTTTAAATCGTTTGTTGTAGCCGTACCTGCCTGCATGTCTTCTTTTAAGGGCGAGAAAAGAACGTCGTGGCGAGTCTTGGCAACGTGTTCACAACATGTCTCGAAGTGTTGTGGGCATACATGAATGTGCTGTTGTTGTCTGAACTTCCTGTTACAGGGTCTCATTGCACTGAGAGCATTTGCGATGAGGATTCATGGGCCATTTACTCAGATAATCAGTTGGGAACTGATTAAAGCAGGATTTGATGTCAACAGTCCAGGGTACAGCTCATTTTGTACATCCTGTGGTCCTTCCTGATGACATTTTCAGCTAAAAGCCTAACATGATTCTCATTTGGGGAGAAATTCCCATTCTTTGGCTTAAATCTGACAGCAGCCTCAGCTCCTTTTCATCATTGAATTCCTCCTCATCATTCATTTCTTGGTCTGGATTATATTCTGTCAGTTTCCTTGCTCCTCTCCTCCTCACCACTGCAGTGATCAAATATGTAGAGCCTCACTTAGGGTGCATCAACCTGCTATGATGGTGCCACATCACCTGTGAGCTATTCCCGTGCAGTGTTGGGAAGGTTACTTTTTATTAAATCCTGATCAATTTTTAAATATAAATGTATTTTGCCAGAAAAGCCAGGATCTCAGGTTAAAGCTTACAAAACTATTTCAACACCCACCAAACAGCTAAAACAGTAAATGAGAGCAGGTAACCAGTGTTGGGAAGGTTACTTTTACTATGTATTCCACTACAGATTACAGAATACATGCCCCAAAATGTATTTTGTAACATAGATTAAGTTACTTGATGACAGTAACGTATTCTGGATACTTTGGATTACTTAATATATTATCATGCTTTTTACAACT